TTCATTATAAAAACATTGAGTAAATAGAAATAGAGAAATAATAATTTAATATAAATCATATAATAAATGGTGAAAGTCAAAAAGAGATATCGCACTGATATGATTTGTAGTGAAGAAATTCAATTATATTACTTATTTGAAGGGAAACTCTGGGGTATGCAACGTACACTGTTAAGGCGTAAAACGGCTAGACATGGTGATGAAATTATGAACTGTTTTAAATAATTGGTTTTGACTGAAAGATCGTTATTTCCAAATGAAAGAGATGTAATAGTTTTTTTGTTCTGGAGGAAGAAGGTCAATAGTATCTTAGTATAATTTCAACAGTAAAGAAGATAATGTTCGGAGTTTCAAAAGGATGTCCACATAAGCAGGAAGGGTTGTTACATATCTGCATGAAGTGTTTGTGAGCGTTAAGACTTTTATTGTGACGTAATTTGGTATGTCAAATAGAAATCGTTTATAAGTTGTGCTTATTTCGAGCTTCTATATATAGTGAATGGTCATCCAAACCCGCGTTAGGCACACGAGGTTTATCAACGCAAGGCTATGCAGAACAGTTATTTCTCACATGTAATTTACAAAGAGAATAAATTAAAAAGACATTGAAATATAAAACTAAATAATATAAAGTCTGAACATTGGTAAGGATTATTGAATAATTACCAAGCTGTGATTTGTTATAAGCAGACACGACAAGCTGATTTATCACAGCATTCATTATACTTGTCTTTTCTTCCGAAACATCATTTATCACTTTAACTCTCGCTTGCCACCCACAGGAAGGTTCACTCTTATGTCATTGTCAGCATCTCAAAATAAAAGCCTAACTGGTCCTTACCAATTGTGTTTTGCATGTTGTTTTTGGCGAGTCAATGAAAAATTGTTAGGAGGCTCAGTCACAAATCCATTCAATAAAACTTGGAACCATGGAGAGAGTCGACTTACTATGTCTTAAGCGAATGTATTGCAGTCTCAAAAGCCAAACACATTAGCAAGAGTGTTAGATGATAAATGCTTTTGTATTCGGATATAGAAAGTTAAACATTATATTGCGTGCAAACAGTCACTGATTATGCCAATTACTCATCATCCGATGACTGAATACTGTTTGCTTAATTTCTTGAAGAACTAAACACGAATATAGGGGATTCATCGAGATAGAAAAAGGATAGTTTTTATCTTATCAAATTCACAGACTAACATCAATGAAGAAAAATTAAATTAAATAAACCAGATGAACTGTAACAAATTGCTATTCATAGAAAAACAATTATGAGAGATATTTAATTAAACAATTATATATAAAAAATAAGAATAGCAACACTTTCAAAACGGGCTTTTTCTCTATTATTGATCACTTTTCTATCGGATATGAAACATACATTCCATAAGGTTCAGTTAAAAGGGTTAACTTAACCAAAATTTTGTAAATAGAATAAGAAAAATTCCAAGCGGAGAGTTCAACAATAAAGAAGACTGTGTTCCTGTCAAACCATCAACGATTAGCACGAGCACATCTGTATGCCAGGTATACTCGGGCTCACTCATGCTTATAACCGTACCGTTCCATCTGCTGCATTACATACAAATACGTCGTAAATACAATTCAATAAATGCTTATCAGGCAATTAAGTTGATATAGACGACAATTTTCTTTAATATTTCTTAACCTGTTAGACCAGTTACTGTGATTTGGAAGCTTCGTATCTGTCCACTTTATCTCATCAATTCTGATATGGTTTCCTCATTGAAAAGTCGTATTTAGAGTAACCTATATATTTCACCTAATATTTAAAGTTAACATGAGAAAATAGTTTTTTTTACATAAATGCTGTCCCTCGTTGATATATTTTTCTATCAACTCCTCAAGAGATCTTATGTATTGATTTAAACGGATGGATAGATTTCTATAGACCATTTTTTGTCGAGCAGAAAAAACAGAATCAATTGAAAGAGTACAGACACTTGTTACACTTGATTATTATTTTAGGAGATTTTTTTACTCATGGGGATATACGAGATGGTAATGTATTTCGATAATTGATCTTCAGAACGACCAGTTTGGCGTTAAGTTCCTCAAATTAGATTTTTATAGTCCTTGACCATAGAAGACTTTGTCCCGCACTGGAGTACCATCAAATTACACACTAGTGTCTGGACCTATTACAAATTAAAAACACCAAAGGCAGAGTACCCACTCAAATCTTGTCCTAAAGATCTAAAATACTTGACCTACTACAAGCTTTACAGATTGAGTATCGAATCTTCAAAATATTCAATAAAATGAAATAGCTCTTCTGAAAAAAAAATCAATTCGGACTAGGCTTGAGAAAATTATACTTGATTATACTTTTATTGTGTTATTTGATTTATTATTTCAAGAAGCGTGTCATGTTAATTATTATTATTATTTTTTTTTGAAGACTTTCAAGCCATTATATTAAACATCGATAAAAGCAAATCTACAATCGTTGTCATGACTTATAAATTCATAATTCCTAGGAAAATTCCTACTACGTGAACATGGACTTTGATCTTAACATTCTGTATATGGGCACCATACACGCCTTTTTATCAGTAAACTTTACATAAACATATTTGAAATCTGTTTGGGGCAATATTCGGCTAGATAGTTTTCTTCCGTAAGTTATTTGAATTCGCGAGCTACCATCTTGAATTATATATCACAATCACAAAACCTAATCTGTCCATACATTTATTTCGTATTTCATCATTATTCAAGTAATTTGGCAACGTATGTCAGTTCGCACGAACGAAAGATAATAAATATAAAAGGAGGAATGCAGACAGATATCAAATGAGATCAATCAATTTCATCCAAGTTGCGGTACATATAGATCATTAAACCATACGATAATATTTGTGACTGAAAGTCATAAAAGTTAAAAGAGATTGTTTTAATGTTCGGGAGAAGCATGGCAGACAGAAAGAGCCATTACATTTTAACACAACAATGAATTAATATTGTCAGAACTCTACCAGACTTTGTCAAATCCCATGGGAATGGAATTTAAATTTAGCTATTGTTTTATAATTGCACTGATTTGTAGAGATGAAATGTGGTCTGCGTTCTTATTTGTACTAAATTGATCAATTAATGCCAGACAAGTTAAAGACCACGGTTCGCCATTTTCGGGGATTGATTTAAGTCCTAAACATATGTAAATAGCCTTCAGAACTACTAGACTTGTACGAAAATTTAATTCATTTTAATTTTCAAACGCAGATAATTCTGGACACACTTGGATTTAACGGCTCAAATTTCGACGGTGACCTTTGAAGTCTATTACCGATTAGAAAAATTTTGCCTGTATTGTGTCATCGTCGTTTAAACCCTCCCCTTATTAATAACCATGGACCGTGGAAAAGTTTATCAAAATTGCTTCGTTGGTGGCGCAGAATTTCAAGCAATCATAACATTTTTATACGCCCACATGAAATGGGGGGCGTATATTGTCGTCACCCATGTCCACCCGTCCACAATTGCTCGTAAACACTCTCTACAAGGCACTATTCTTGACTGATTTTGACGAAACTCGGTATGGTTGTTTGTAATCACTCAAGGATGAACCCTATTGAAAATCAGACGAATATTATTTATTGCCCTTGTTCTTGAAGCGCTCGTAAACACCCTAGAAGGCGCAATTCTTAGCGGATTTTGATGAAACTTGTTGTGAGTGTTTGTTACTATCCAAGGATGAACCCTAATAAAAATCAGAAAGATCGAAAAATGATTAGTATGAGTTATTGCCCTTGTTCTTGAAAACGCGTTCAATTTTAGCTCGTAAACACTATAAAAGGCACATTTCTTGACGGATTTTGACGAAACTTGGTGTGAGTGTTTGTAATAACCCAAGAATAAACCCTATCGTAAATCAGGAAAATTGAAAAATATCTAGTATGAGTTATTGCTCTTGTTCTTGAGAACGCGTTCAATTTTTAGCTCGTAAACACTCTAAAAGGCACATTTCTTGACGGATTTTGATGAAAATTAGTGTCAATGTTCGTAATCACCCAAGGATGAACCCCATTGAAAATCGAAAAATATTTAGTATGAGTTATTGTAACCGACGGGGCAAATATCATTATCTCAAGATGCTATATTAAACTTTACATCTTTCAAACTTTAAACCTTCAGATAAGCGTCCAACTCCCTGGGCAGCCGAGGTGTTATCGAGTTACAGAGAAAGGAGAAAGTTGTAGGTTATGATTCGATAGTACCCTCATTTGCATTACGTCTACGGACCTGGTCAGGTCTCTTGAGACCTTAAATCAATCTACAAAATAGCACAGAGTATCTGAAGTCCTATCAAAAAGCCGTGCAGAACTATGGCCAAGTTTTGCAGGTATACATTTTGCTTCATTGGACTTGGTGATGGATGTCATAAGGCTGTAATTTGTCCGTACTATCAACAGAAATAGATAGTTTTCTTAATAATATAACTTCGATTTTAAAACGGAATCACGTAATGCTAGCACAATTACTATGTCATCTTTAATGTAGTACAAGTTGCTAGATCCTACAAGTGATAATTTTCTCGATCTGGATATCAGTAACTTATGTTTTCCACTCACTTTTTATCGGATTTAAATTCAAACATATATATGGTCCTTTTTCCTGTGGGTTAGTAAACTCAAAATCCATGATTCAGTCGATGCTTGACTCTTATTGTTGGCGACCCAGTTGAAGGTTGCATGCAAATTTAAACGATGAATATTCCTTAATACTTTTATAACATTGGTAATTGTTTGATTGAATATAGGTTTCAATTGGATGAATATTTCATTAAACCATGAACATATTTTACATTAGAAATTTCGTCAGACCATGGATGACAAGTGGAGTACAAAAAAACACACACACCCATAACTAACCATGTTGATTTATATTCATTTAAATTAGAATGTGCTTTCTCTCTTCTGAGGACTGTGCCAGTCCATTCATAAATTGAAGAAAAACAATATCCTAAACTCACCTGTAGACATTTGTTTCAGGAACAGTCCAAACTTGAACCCCAGCATATCTTCCTGATTCCATTACACGGATTTTCTCATGGTAACTCATATCACAATGCTTCTGTGTGGGTCCCGTTGGACCTTTCGCACCACACGTTGACAAATTTATCACTATAAAGATGAAAAGAAGAAATACTAAATTATGTAAAATTTCACATTATTTGAATTATGTACATGCAACATGTGACCGTTTACACATCTATAAAATGATCCGATTGTAACGAAATTCAATAAATTGCTGGTTGGTGACAATGCCATGAGAAAACTAAGGATTTATGAATGGTTATGAATGGTTAATTGTGTCGTTTGTAATTCAAGTTTTATGACTATAGTATCTTGCCGGAAAAACTGAGTGATAAATGCAATGCACCGCTGACAAGTTTATATGTTTTTTCAAAATCCAGAAAGAATCAAGCTTTTAAGAGGGAAATATTTAATGCATTTCCAAGAACGAGGTTCATTCATTGGATTTTCTTTTTTGATTTTCGATAGGAATCATCCTTAAGAGATAAATTTCGTATAGGTCCGCCAGGAATCGTGCTCTCTATAATGTTTACGAAAAATTGAACTCGTTTTCATGAACAATGGCAATAAGAATTTTTCGAGTTCATCCTTGGGTGATAACAAACACTCGCACCAAGTTTCGTCAAAATCCGTCATGAATTTTGTAGTTCCAATAGGATTTAGCGAATCAGGCACGGTTTACTCGAAGAGCTCAGACCACAATACATTTTTTTCTGATTAGCTGGTCCTTGTAATCTTGTTCTGTATTATCACAAAGAAAAAAACGTGTTTTGGGTCACACTAAAAGATCAAATGGGTTAAATTTGAATGAACCGAAGTTAATGACTCTACTAAAGCTGGCTGCTGATTGGCTAAGACTATTCGTCATTGCGGCACAACGTCCGGTCGCCGCACTCGATGTATAGGTGGATATGTGAACACTTTTAGGCATTCATTCGTATGTCCAGGCCTTAACTACACATGCTTCTGGCATATATGGGCACTTTTGTATAAAAAATATATTGTTTTTTGAGTTTTTTTTTTTTGGTTTATTATATTATTCAATTGGTACAATAAGGTACAAAATCCTAATTATGGTTTGATTAAACATTCATTTTTAGGTTCAACACTCCGCTATTATTAAAAGATAAAGAGGCTCAATTTGCTATTAATTATTAAATAAAGTATCGTACTCCTAACTAATGTCTTCAGGCAAATGCACTTTAAGTTGTTTATCTTGTCTGTTGGTTTAAGGCAATAATGTCTCTAATTCCATAAAAATTTCCACATACATGTATAATGATTTTTAACAAGTTACATGATAGTGTATATTTATATTGGTATCACTCTGTGGAAGGGTTTTAATTCTAAAGTTAAATACTGTGCCAATTTGAAAAAAGGGTTGGAGCAGAATTCAGATTTTTTGGACAATCTATTCAGCAAAACTTCTTCGTCATGCTTCTGTTAGCCTCGACAATAAAATCAACATTGTTGATTTCTTAATTACTCAATATTCCGAGGTAACTTGAATAGATGAAAATAATTGCCAATTGTAAAATCTTTAAAGATTTAGATTTGTTTTACACCTGTATATATTCAGATCATTTGGCAACTTCAACTGAAAAATAATAAAAACAAATATCCTGGTCCACTGATAGCAGAGATAAAGCTAAACGAAGTAAACTGTGTTTTACTTAATGCTTTCCATCATCAATGCCCCTAAGCATACGTCTTATAACAAACGTTATGAAAATTTAGACATGAGAATAAGTTGTCCATTGAACAGTACGGAGAAAATCGCATAGCAAAGCAACCTGTGTTTAGATTCTGTTTAAATAGTTCTATATTCAGAACAGAATAATATTAGTGGTAGTAACTTTTGTCGATAGACTTTTTATTCGTTTACATAACGTCTATTATATCTTATCTTCTTAATTTGGCCTTAAATTTTGTTTGGCATTTTGGCTGATTTGTTGGGTCAGACCTAAATTAATCTGGTTGTATCTCATGATTTTTACCATTGTGGTAGTGGCAGGTGTTCATGCTTACTATTTTCGAAACACCTGATGGTAATATTCTTTGGAGGAGTCCACTACCACACAACTTTTACTTTCGATTTTGCCATACTTTGGATGAGATTTTGATTAACGGAATTGTCTTGTATTGCGATGTGTCTATTCATCACTGACTTGTAATACATAAAGGACAGAACTTGACTCGATTTTAAATCCTGTACTAAAATGGTATTTGAACTACCAATGTTCTAAACAACTTGAACTGATGAAATTAACTGCCAACTTTACTAAATAATTATGAAGATTATTTAGTTAGGTTTTTTTATAAACTTAGTTAAGAAAAAAGAATTGTGTTGTTATAACAGCTCTACTAAAAACAAGACCCAATATATCAGCTAAATTAAAAAATCGAATTAAAAGTCACGTGGCTTCAAGCGGACTAGCATCCTGTGAAAATGGTTGTTCCTTGAAAGAATTCTCACACATTACCGATTTCGAAGCCATTGTAAACGTTTTAAATTACACAGTCGCTTTGGTGTAGGTTGCTCTATTATACTTTATCATTGATCAAAGATTAACATCCCACTGGATCATATTACATCTGTAATGACAATGATCAAATAGCTGCATAAATAACTTATTGAAAAAGATATGATATATTGAAAGAAAATAGAGAGTTGATTATATTGAATACTATTATCAAATATTAACAATAAACACGAAAGTTTCAAAAGAATTCTTTCAACAAATATATGTGTAACGCCTATGGGAAAACTCGTGATTTTTATGATCATCATGCCGAATCCTTTTCAGTTGTTACTGCAATTCCTTGAAAACCCAGAGAGGATTGACGACAGAAAAGCACAATTAATTTAACTTTTTGATCCTTGAAAGTTAAGTACCATAACCGTATTTTCAAATAGGGCTCGGACTGATGCCATCTTGGAGAACACGGTCAATGAACTCTGTCGACCTGCTCCAAATTTTAAAAAACGCAGTCGCCGCCATCTGTTTATTGTGTTGTAGTTTTCTTTACGCAAAAGTGAACATGGTTGTCGAAAATGAAACGAAAATCCAAAACATTTTGTCGAAACATTGGTAGCAACTGATGAAATATTGACTTGGGGAAGTATATCAACCATAAGTGAGTAAGTATTTCATAAGGAAAAGTGGTATCAGGTGCCTAGAAGAGTAAGTATACCCTGTCTAGCGCTTTGAAGTTTTCGAAGTGAACACAAAAATAATCACAAAGCTCATCGACATTGATTTTGCTAAGAAAGTAATATAAACTATTTTATTTCCATTTATACCCGAGATTAAATTTAGACTAAAATTGATGTGAATCAATGGGATTAATGTCTTACAATGGTTAATAAAAATAACACGTATTGTGTCTATGGTCATAAGAATTATGCCGTAGCAAATCCTTACCTTGCCTGTTAGGAAACACACATAAACAAGGCAACTCGTCTGAAATGAAACTGTTGTTAACCGAAATGGCCCTAGGACTTTTTGATTTATTGACTTCACATGAAAACAGATTGTCCTTGAAATATAATTGTTTTAATCATTAATATTGGAAGTTCCACTCTTGATTAAATGATTAATTTTTGTTTTTTTTATTTTTTAATTTATGAAAAAGGGTGTGAGATGTGTTAAACGAAGTAAAACATTGCTAAAGAAAATTGCATAGTCTGATGATGGAAATGAATATGAGTCAGACGAAAACTGAACTAATTGAATTTTTTTTGCCGGAAAACTTGCTTTGATGTCTTCAACTCGTAATGATGATTCAGATTGTACCACTGACTTACATGATTAAATATGTTTTTTTGGTAAAATGGTGAGACACCATTTAATCTCTCATTGAAGAGAGGATTACGAATGGGATGGACACCTTTCCCCCGTTATATGGCGTGTTGGTCAGAAAAATTCCGACTTCCTGTTTCCAGGGACAAGATGTCTAGGAACCGATGTACCAATAATACAAATCTGGTAATTAACAGATATGATCGTTTTCATAAAATTCGACCATTCCTTCCAAATGGTATCATTTGCTCACCATGCTGCGTCTCTATAAGAGCTGCGAGGTCGCGGAAACTAATATTGTTTGCGAGAGAAGAGACCTACAGGAGACGTTGAAGCGACGATACAGCGGCGTTGCTTGACCCACGTTAGAGACGTTGTTAACCTGCAAGACGTCTGGGAGACGTTGCGGCGACATCCGGGTGAGTTTGTTGTCATCTTGTCTGGCGCCCTCACAGAGACGTATCATATGGCCCTGGTGAGAGTGTACGCCATTTGATAGTCACTTCAGTCGCCACGACGTCAAAGTTAAGCTTATTAGTAACTTTGTATTAAATGAAAGTCGCATTCTCCAAAAAAGAAAAGAAACAGACAACCTCGTTAATAGCAAAGTGAATCAGTTGGTATTAAACTAATCATCGTTTTCCCCCTCTAATTCAAGATCCAATGACAGATCATGAAAATGAACAGAAGAAAACTACCGGACCGACGCAGACCACCTATTTTAATTTCTAAATGAATTAGATTTCCATCCTAGGTCTGTACATTTGGTAGCATCATACCCCCCTTTCACGACATATATAACTAATAACCCGAATAAAAAATCTTACGACTTAAAATAAGAGTAAAATCAAACCTACCGTCTATACCGCTCTCAAATTCAGCTGAATAACATCCCGAAACCCAAATAACGATCACACTCACTAATGTCCTTACGTTCATTTTGGCGAATGATCCACATCAATTAGATGTTAAAGAAACTTAATATCCATGTTTAGCCGCACATTGTCTGGTATGATGTCACCATTTTAAGTTCTGTGGACAGTAAGTAAGCCCTGGGCTGAAAGTCCATCATCCTTAGTGCTGTTGTTTTACATGTTTTGTCTACTACACAACATTACGTATAATGTAAATATATTGAAAGTATGAAAATCATATCCAATATAGTACTCTATCCAACATATGGTACAGTTTACTCTTTACAAAGAGTAAAGAGTTAAAAGGAATGATTCAAATGATATTTTTTTTAACTTCCATGCTTTAACGAAACACAAACGTGCACAATCGTACAGATATTTTTCAAAGATTACAACTGCTCTGTGTTCAGTAGTTATTGTTCATTCGTATCGTCTGATATACTATCAATGAAAAATAATGCAGATATATACTAGTTGTAGCGACAGTGATGTATGATGCCGATAATGGTCAACCAGTAAATATGCTAACGACACAGATATTTGTGTCTTCCCTGGGCTCACCGAAAATGGGCGTTGTAACAAGTTCCGATGTTAATCCATTTGCCAAGGATTTAAAATTTCAATGAGGTATTTATCAATAAGCTTTGTACCAATTGTAGATTTGAACGATAGGAATGTTTTGCTTTTAATCCTAGTCTATTGAAAAGCATTATGAGGATGCAGAAAGTTATTCCTCGGGATTTCTGCAGACAAGTTGGGCGTAAAACTCCATTCGTTTCATTTTTTCATCAGGATATCGACAGACGAGTATTCTTGTTCATTAACTTCGACGTCCAAAAAGTCATTTTTCTGTCAACAGCCCGTGTTGCACTCGATATTCTTCGTTCAGATAGTTTTGTAATAGGCTGTGCACCACACTGAAACCGAACTGCAGAAGAATACGTAAGTTTTAGATTAACAGTAAGTTATTTATTACCATGGCAACTATAAAACACAATTTAACGTCATTGTTCGCTATATGCTTGAGGTACATCCTTCAATTTTAATTTACGGTCGGATAGTTATATTTGTGTAAATATCGAAATTTCTGGTGAAAGATCCAGTATCATTGAATATCAAATATTGAAAATTATCACAATGATTATCACAAGCACTCGTGTAAAAGGAAGACAAATCTGAAAGAAGAGTATGTGACGGAAATATAAACAACAATAATTGTTGTAATAATTAAAACCCTCAGCTATGTCACACAGGAAATCATATGCATTCAGTGAATGTCAATTATTGTGGGTAATAACTTGCTACAATTAGATGTAATCCACGATCCGGTACTGTATCACAATCGTCAATAACATGCACATTGACACAAATGCTGATAAATACTGATCCACAGTTTCTCTTCTAGTGACACTCAATTGTAACATTAACTCGTGTTTCTTTCTTATTTTATACTTTATGACATACAACTACCGCTGAAGTAAAAAAAATCAATGCGCGCATGCAATATCGCTGAAACGCATTTCACATTCATTCAATCTCAACATTGGCGTTGAAATGAGTAAATTTAAAGATAATATGATTACAAGATGACGGTGTAGAATTTTCAATACACAAAATGAAATAATAATAAATGAAAATTTCGACAGAAAAAAATTTAAAGGAGGAACGTGTGAAATTTATTTCTGACCAACAACATTGTTAAGCAACATGTTTTCATGAGATTTCTGCATTTGCCAATGCTCTGAAAACTTAGCAAAGAACAATGCAAATAATTGCCAAATGTAGTACAAGTTTTAACTAAATCGAAAAAACTTGATCGATTGTCGTAATCTTATCGCTCGTATAATAACTCTTGCACATATTTCCATATACTTGATGGCAATCAAACCAAACTGGTTTTGAGCGTGTTTCGTGTTGCCCTGAATCCACTGATAAATTGTTCAACTAATCTGGCAAAAAATATTTTTTCATGTTGTTGCAGAGAGGTATGGATACATTAATGAATCCATCAAGACGTTATTGAATATTCTGCAATGTCCCTGTGCCTCACATGTAACCATAATTTAATCGGCGGGTAGGCTTAACTTACGTTGTTGTACGAAGAAAGGAAGTTCTTACCTTCATAAATTAACTATTGATTTACCATATGACACTTAAAACAACTGTGGTTGAAATAGGTTTATTTAATAATACAAAGGACTATAATTCTTTTATATTCATATCAGACTGACGTATTGCTTAAAAATCATATTTAATTTCGCCGATCTTATCTCACTGGGAATTTGTGACATGATTTTGACAAGAAGAAAGGTGAAAATGTTTTAAAATGCATGCAATTACATGTATATATATTTTAACTGAACTCTTGAACTGGACTACTATAATAATAGTAGTGATGATAGGCAACCCTTTTTGCTTTGAAACTACGTATGGTTCTTGTGTCATTAACGAAGTTTCGTAAACTACTGAAGGTTTCGTGCCATTTGCCTCAATAAGTAACTAATTGCAAATAACTGCAATTGCAGGCTAACTCTTTTATGAACAAATTTTGACTACCACTGATTTATTATCTCTTTCAGACAGTCACATAGATCTTTTTGTAATGGTTTCATGTCAATTATGCTTCGTTTCAAAGCATTATTTCAAAAATTATAATTAATGCAAACATAGATAGCATCATTTTGCGACATTCCAATTTACAATCAGACCTCTTTGGTTCTAGATGAAAATACACACTCTTGTTATTGACTTTTATCTTTTGGTTACCTTTATCTCCTATTATTCTTAGCTAGTATATATCTTGTTATGATTTATTCTTTCACCATTTCATCTGATGACGACACGTGTAACTTGTGTTGAAATGTTATGTACCCATGTACCCAGGAAGTGTGTTTTATCCCATAATTATCAGCTTTTGTTATCTTTACAATCCCTTTAGTTGTCGATAAAGAAGACAATTATTATTGACAGGATATTTCTAGAAATATCATATTACTCCAAAATTAATATACATCTATAACTTGAGCTTCCAATATGCCATTGAAGGATTCTTTAAGTTTATTAAGAGTCGGAAGTCGAGAAAGAGTAGGCTAATTCTACTGTCATGGTGAAATTACATGCATGAAGCTGCTCATCGTTATAAGCCCCATAACTAGTAGAAAATGTAAGACATAAAAACATATTCCTTCATTCCTTTTCTAGTACATTTTGATTGAGTCCAATACATTATACCGTTTAAAATTCCTTCTATCCCGCGGTTGAAATTCGTTATTTCGATGACATCCTCTTTTGAACGCTTAATAATTCTGCGGAAGTAGACAGATATACATTTAGTAGATCTAAAAATACCTTTTCATTGTAATCACATATATTATTATTTGAAAAAAAAAATCAATGTTAAGAAGTACTTTTATTTAAAAAAGTAGAAGAACTAGTTCCCGATCTTTTTAAGCATATTTTGCATTGAGGTTTTTTTTTTTTAATCAGTTCCAAACGTTGTAAAACTGAATAAGAGTAAAGTCAAAGAGTATATTTTTTAAAAATTGTAAACTATGTGGTGGTAGGTGTGATCGAAATCCACTGAGTGAATTGAGGGACATTTTGCCAAAACCGGCACACCAACCTATTATTTTCAACTGACATAGGACCTTCAACATACTCAATCTGTGACAAGGAATTCTATGGTTCATTGACTCGGCTGAAAGATTATACAATTCGACCTTTGAATGTATTAAACACATGACGTGAATAGAAATCTGAAGAAATAATTTCGACCTTTAACGAGATTAAATCTCATACCCAAAGTCAACGAGAGACACAAAAGAGAGAATATGAAATAAATGGAGTTTTACGTCCTACTCTTGTACCTAAGTGGGCTATTGGGTAATTTTGCCAGGACCACCCGCGGTAGTAGCCTACTTTAACGTGCAGTCTGTTGCACACGGGGCCTCTGTTTATTGTCCCATCCGAACGACTAGACGTTTTATCCATGTCAGCCCCTCTTACCTGCATCATTGACAAGAGGAAACTGGGTTAAAAAATCCGAAGGTATTATCTCGACCTATCCCGGTAGAAACCAAAGAAAAAAGATTGGACCTATCGTGAAATTTGAAATGATAACAAAATTTCCTTTGTATATCGTCAACTTGATATTCCTTATAATGTATTTATTTTATAGTTCACTTACCCTGTGTTTCTGGGTGCGTTAAAAACCCGCCAAAATTGTGCAAGTGTGACGGTTCGTACAAAATGAATTATTTTCAGCTTTTCAAAAACTAAAGATGATCCGTGATTTGAATCTTTATTATGTACATGGATAGTAACCAACGGACACAATTTATAAAAGGTAACAAAACTTTTAAGGTGAAATAGTAGATTTCTGTGGTCTGTATTAAGCTTACAATGTACATTTAAACCAACCTTTACTACGACTTGAATCGATGAAAATACGCGCCCTCTTTATTCTTATGAATAAACATTTTTGATGTGTAAAAAAACAAGACTATAAATATAATAAGAAGACTATAAGGTCAGTCTTACATCTTTATCCTCAAAGCCATTTGTCTGGTTTTATACCATCGTAAATACTTTCAGAATCGCAAAAGAAACGCCAATATGGGCTGATAGTATAGAATAATCTTACTTGTCTGAACACTAATGTTAGATGCAGATATATTCAAACGATGACTATGTGACGTTACATTCTGTGGACTGAGACAATGGAGGTGTCGTCAGTCCAAAAGTGTCGCCAGTTTGTCCCTGTGGTCTGTCAATCTCGATATAATTTATAAGAGGAAATCTGACAATGAAGGCGAAGTACATGTAATAGATTTCTTAAAGTTTGGTCAGTTTTAAGCTTAAAATTCGACTTTTATTACGAGTGGAATGATTGAAAATACGCCCTTTTTATTCTTACACTTTTTGATGTGGAAAATAACAAGACTATAAATATAATGAGAAGACTATAAATTCAGTCCTATAAAGGTTTAATTTCTTATGACATCTTTATCCCCAAACCCATTTCTC